TCTCTTAGCCTCTCGATCTTTCTGGACTTTATACCCTCTCTGACATACAGAGCCACCCCACCTCCAACCCTTCCCCCCCTATCCTTCCGATATAATATATAACCGGGAATCACCGTATCCCACTGATTTTCCTCATCCCACCAAGTTTCTGAAATACCCACAATGTCTATTTTTCCCTCTGACACCAAGCACTCCAACTCCCCGATTTTACCTCGGACACTTCGAGCATTTGTATAGAAACAGCTGTAATTTCCCATACTGGTTAAGCCTGCCACCTTCCTCTTGCAATCTCGAGACCTTGTCAGGCAGTCCATGTCACTAGCCATGGTCTCAGTGGACAATTTCAATCCACCTCCCTGTAGAAAAGCAACAGGTACCCCCTCATCTCTCTGAGATGAGCCAACCCGAACCAGAGACTTTTCATCTCCTGTCGGCTTTCCCCCAATATTCAGTTTAAAAACTGCTCTGCCACCTTTTTGATTTTAAGCGCCAGCAGCCTGGTTCCTTCTCGGGACAAGTGGAGACCGTCTCGCCTGTACAGCTCCCTCTTGTTCCAAAAAGAATCCCAGTGCCTAACAAACCTGAACCCTTCCCCTCTACACCATCGTCTCATCCACGCATTGAGACTCCTGATCTGTGCCTGTCTCTCCGGCCCTGCGCGTGGAACAGGTAGCACTTCTGAGAAGGCTACCTTGGAGGTCCTGGCCTTGAGTTTCCTGCCCAGCAGCCTAAATTTCTCCTCCAGGACCTCACGACTGCATTTCCCCACATCGTTGGTGCCGACATGCACCACGACCACTGGCTCCTCCCCAGCACTATCTACCAGCCTATCTAAAACACGCGTAATGTCCGCTACCTTTGCACCAGGCAGGCAAGTCACCATACGGTCAGTACGCGGGTTCGCCACCCAGCTGTCTACCTGCCTAAGGATCGAATCACCCACTACCAAGAGCCCCCCTCCCACCCTGCCCAGGGATGGTTCCTTGGTGCAAAAGGATAACCGCTCCTCTGTCAAGGTGCTTTCTTAAATACTCGATTGCAGTCAATCACAGTCAAACAATGCCCTTTCCTCTCCCTCTCTCAATCAGCCAGGAATCTGCAACAACTCTAAGCGTTCCCCACACTCCCAGACCAGTTCTTGTATAGTTCTGTGTATTCTTGCCATCTCTTCTTAATTTCTTCTGCTTCTGTTAGGTTCCTACCATTTTTGTCCTTTATCATGGCCAGTTTTGCATGGAACGTTCCCTTGATTTCTCCAATTTTCCTGAAGAGATCTCTAGTCCTTCCCATTCTATTGTTTTCCTCTATTACTTTGCATTGTTTATTCAGGAAAGCCTCCTTATCTCTCCTTGCTGTTCTCTGGAAATCTGCATTCAGTTGGGGAAATCTTTCCTTTTAACTTTTGCCTTTCACTTTTCTTCTTTCCTCTGATATTTGTAAAGCTATATGCTATTAAAGGTTTATTGATTGATTTATTGATTGATTGATATTTGTAAAGCCTCATCAGACAGCCACTTTGCTTTCTTGCATTTCTTTTTCTTTGGGATGGTGCTGATTGCTGCCTCCTGTACAAAGTCATGAACCTCTGTCCATAGTTCTTCAGGCACTCTATCAAATCTAGTCCGTTAAACCCATTCTTCACCTCCACTGTATATTCATAAGGGATGTGATCTAGGTCAAACCTGAATGGCCTAGTGGTTTTCCCAACTTTCTTCAGTTTAAGACTGAATTTTGCAACAAGTAGCTCATGATCTGAGCCACAGTCAGCTCCAGGTCTTGTTTTTACTTACTTCTCCATCTTTGACTGCAAATGATACAATCAATCTTCTTTTGGTGTTGCCCATCTGATGATGTCCATGTGTAAAGTCGCCTCTTAGGTTGTTGGAAGAGGGTGTTCGCTATGTCCAATGTGTTCTTTTGACAAAACTCTGTTAGCCTTTGCCCAACTTCATTTTGTTCTCCAAGGCCAAACTTGTCTGTTATTCTGGTTACTTTTTGACTTCCTACTTTAGCATTTCAATCCCCTATGATGAGGAGGACATCTTTTTTTGGTGTTAGTTCTATGAGGTGCTATAGGTCTTCATAGAACCGGTCAACTTCAGCTTCATCTGTGTCAGTGGTTGGGGCATAGGCTTAGATTAGTGTGATGCCGAATGGTTTGCCTTGGATTCGGACCAAGACCATTCTGTCATTTTTGAGACTGCATCCCATTACTGCCTTTCACACTCCCTTGTTGACTTTAAAAGCCACACCATTTTTTCTACGGGATTCTTGCCCACAGTAGTAGATATAATGGTCTTCCAAGTTAAATTCACCCATTCCTGTCCACTTTAGTTCACTGATTCCCAAGATGTCGATGTTCAGTCTTTCCATCTCGTTTTTGACCACATCAAGCTTACCTTGATTCACAGATCTTACATTCCAGGTTCCTATGCAGTATTGTTCTTTGCAGCATAGGACTTTCCTTTCACCATCAGACACATCCACAGCTGAGCGTCCTTTTGGCTTTGGCCCAGCCACTTCACTCTTTCTGGGGTTACTTGTAGTTGCCCTTTGTTCTTCCGCAGTAGCATATTGGACACCTTCCAACCTGAGGGGCACATCTTCCAGCATCTTATCTTTTAGCCTGTTGTTACTGTCCATGGGGCTGTCTTGCATTTCCTTCTCCAGTGGGTTGCCATTTCCTTCTCCAGTGGATCACATTTTGTCTGAGTTCTCTGCTGTGGCCTGTCCATCCTGGGTGGCCCTCCACAGCATACCCCACAGCCTCATCGAACCACGCAAGCCCCCTCTCCATGTCAAGGTAGTGATCCATGAGAGAGTACTGAAAGCTACTTGCTTGTTTTTAACTGCCAATCTAATGAAGCTGTTTTAATAATCTTTCCAAAATCATTAACCATCATCACCATTTAAAAGTCATCCACAGCATTAATTTCAACTGGATATTTACCACTAGAAAACTATTTAAAATGTAATGCAGCATGTTCAGAATAAACTTCATTCAGCATGTAACAGAAGTTGTCAAGCCACAGTTTTGAGCCCATGGGGGCATACATACCTGTTTCTGCCAAGTTTCTGTGCAAACGTCTAATATGGCCCTACACATCAGATACCCATTTTGCTTCCTTCCATCCCCAGGAGGGCTCCTAGAATCTTTAGTACAGATGGCAATATGTCTAACTGATTGCCAAATTGTATTTTGATTCAACAAGAGTCTAAAGTGTATTTTAGTATAATGTGATGACTCACTGCAACTTCTGTTAGTTTTGCAATTGTGTCACAAATAATTTATAAAATGAAAGAAACTGTAGTAGAGGAAATGCATGTGTTGTTTAACAGAAATAACAAGGCACAAGAAGAACAAAGAATAAACCCAGAAATGGCAAATTCCTGTTAACAGTCCTTAGTTTTCATTTCTGGAAGCTATAAATGCACAATAGGGAAAAGAAACACTCTGTGTTCCTTGAGGAAAATTATCATCTCCTCTGGCCTGGCCGCTGCCTCCTTTTTTATATTTCAATTCTAATCTTAGTCTCCAAGCAAGTTTTGCTTAAAATCACTGGGACTTACTTCTAAATAACGTGTTTAGGACCAGGGTGTAAAATATGTACATTCAATTAAAATCAAGGGATGAGCCTGTGGAGTTCATGGATCAGGATTAAGCTGTGAAACCACATCCTTCTGCCTTCCTCCTCTCATGTGTGAATTGTTCCTCTCTATCAAAGTTTGGCATTCTGTACAACGATCACAAACCTGAACTTAGGTACTGGTTTCATTTTAATTTGCACTGATGGTTAGGGTTGCTAAACTTTAGGTAGCACCTGGAAATCTCCCATTATAACTGATCCCCATATTACCAAGATCAGTTCCTCTGGAACAAATGGCTGCTTTGGAGGGTAGACTAATGGCATTGTACTCTGCTGAAGCCCCCCTCCCCAAACTCTACCGTCTCCAGGCTCCACCCCTGAAATCTCCAAGTATTTCCCAACCTGGAGCTGGCAAGACTATTGTTGGTTCACATCTGCAGTTCACAGAGTTAATGAAGGCAGTTGCCCCTATATACAACTTATTTGTCTGGACCAGGTACAACTGGTTCATCATTTGAACACAGAAACACCTGTGATGAAAAGGTGCCCGCCTTTCATTAGCACTAAAGAACAAAAGCACAAGCAGCTGCTTTGGGGACTTGCCCCAAAAATGACCTCTATAACCTTTGAAATTGAAATGGAAAGTACACTGCAGATGCTGTGAAGGGGGGGGGGGGCTAGAAATCAAGTCAGATAAACAAATTAATGTTTTACTCTTGTCCACATAACTAAAGCACACTAATCATCTTAAATCTATCCAATATTTCAAGAAAAGTAAATGAAAATGTGATTATATTTATAGTCTTTATTCCACCCAAACTGCATTGCAGTATTCCAGTCTTTTTTATTTACATTATTTGCAAATCCTTCCATAAGTGCCAGTACAAATGTAACTGATGATAATCCAGAACAACATTACAAATGTTCCCCAAAGCAATGTGCATTTCTGAGCATTTTGTTCTGATGTGCAATTATATATATACTGCGTAGGCATATATATATATATATATATATGAAACCAAAGCTTTATAATATAAAATATTTTACACTGAAAGTAAAACATCCCACTTGCAGTTTATCAGATTTCAGTTACAGAGATTTCTGCATTTCACGTTAGTGCAAATAATGAAAGTAAGAGCCTGAGCAAAATGGTATACATACAACAAAACAAGAAAACACTAACCAACTCCCTGCATATGGTTATAATATTTAATTAGTATATTATTAGTAGTCTTTATATACAACTTATTTAAATAAATTGGTGAATTTGAGCTATAGGCAATATATTTACACATTCAAATAAAATATGTTCAATTCAGACAAATATGGAATGTCCAGCATATATGAAAATAAAACTCATCTATTAAAAAAATGCAGTAAATCAAAAAGGTCAAGATATCTTCTCTGTTGTCTTGGGGTAGATTTCAAGGCACTTTCTCAGCAAACCAGAGTTCTGTCTTAGCAGGAAAGTCTGAAAGATGAATTCACACATCACTGTTTTCTTAGTGTCATAGTTATTGAATCATTATATTTTCATTACAGACCAAAGTTATTTATAGCTTATGGTTTACTGACAGTTTAAAAAATATACACCCAAATTTTCCATTTATTTATTTTAAAACATTTTATTTAATTTACCCCCCCCAAAATGCTGCATATCTTTTAAAAAGAAGTCAAATATTAAAATCAGAAATATAAAATCCAATTAATAAATAACATATTGTAAACAAAGGAACAGCAAAACAGTAGCAGCTGTTTTAGATACTTTGGCACATTTTTTTTAAAGCAGCCCTTCATGCTCACTGAAGTTAATCGGGCTCACACTACACAAGACTACCTTGAGTCATTGATTTCAATGTGTCTTACATGGAACTATGTTTGGACTGGGAGCCAAAAGTTCTATGAGGTCTTGTTCTCTTTTGGATGCATAATACCATCTGAAAATATCCCCCAAATATTAAAAAGTTTTAGAAGTTAATAGTTCATTTTTAAGAAACTTCTGCATATATATCTCAGATGCCTAAGTTCCTGACAGCTTTTGTTCATTTAACAAAAATTAATGTAGTATAACCATGTCCAAAATATCTTGTGAGACGTAACAGTGTCTTGATCTGAAAATTTTGGTTACAATCATCTTTGCAGTTTAACATGTTTTCTTTACTGAGACTATGTCCATTTATTGCAACAACACACTTCTTCATGGTCCTAAAACGGATACAGAAGAAACCCATGAACAAGTCTCTTAACAGAACCAAATAGGGTGCAAATTTCTTCAGCCTCCTGAAGCAAACCATATCTGTAAGCTTATAACCAATTTCTATGCTTTGCTTCCTTAGCACTGCATAAGACTGCCCACTCAGGGGGATGTATTGTCTTGAGATAAAGTAGAAAACAGGAACAACAAACTCCTATACTCATTCAGCACATCCCAGACCAGCCAGTTGGATTACTTATGAAGCTACCTTACACTAAGTTGGACAACTAGTCCAAATACTTCAATATTATCTACTCTGACTGGCAGCAAAACTCTAAACTCTTGAGCAGAAGTCTTTCCCAATGAGATGCTGAGGACTGAGCCTGCAAAGCATGTACTCAGTTACCAAACAATGGTCCTAGGGCTGCCAAGTCCCCTCGGGGGGCGGGGAAACCCCCGCCCCAGAGGCCCGTTTCCCGCCGCCAGCGGATTGGGGCCCGTGGGGAACCCCACACTGGTGTGCGCGTCACCAGGAAGTGATGTTATGACTCTGTTTCCCCCTTGGATGGTCATGGCCCCACCCCCAGTGTGCCTGGCGTCATAACACCACTTTCTGGTGATGTGTGTGCGGCGCACGCATAGGACGCCGGACAGGAGTCCCCTGCTCAGGGATATTTTTGGGCAGGAACGCACAGGAACGGAGTTCCGGCTGGCTCCCAAGTTGGCCACGCCCAGCAGGAACTCATTAGCATAATAGGCCACACCCAACAGCAGAAATCCATTAGGATTGGCTTCATTAGGGGTGTGCGGCCTAACATGCAAAGGAGTTCCTGCTACAAAAAAAGCCCTGGGTTTTGACAACAAATAAGGTAAACAGAATAACAAGCAAAAGGTGGGTGTGGCTAGATAACCACACTTCTGGTAACATGGGGGTGCGTCCTAATGTGCTAATGAGCTGTGCTGGCAGGGTGTGGCCTAATATGCTAATGAGTTTCTGGTGTTGGGTGTGGCCTATTATGCTAATGAGTTCCTGCTGGGCTTTTTCTATAAAAAGAGCCCTGCCCCCGCTCCCGACAATTTTCGACTTGGCAACCCTAAATGGTCCTGGTCAGAACCCCTCCCCCCCAATTTTCAAACCAAGAGCAACAGAGATGGTTTTAATCTCTGGTATATGGAAGAATCTAATCATTAATAGGAAACATTTTGGAATCAAGGTCAGGAATATTGCCTGGTTTCTGAGAAAAGAATCATTAGATTATTGGGGGGGGGGCGAAAGTATACTTACATAGCAGGCCTCCTATGGCTGTGTACACAGTGGGCTCATTGCTAACCTTGTCAGCAATCTTGCACACCTTTTGTAATCTTTTTAAAATGACAAAATATAATAAGCATTAATTATTATTTAGCCAAACATATTGTCCCAAATGAAAATCTGGTTTCATTTGTCACCACCAGCAAAATATCAACACTTTTAAAAAATATACATAACAAAATTCTGTAGTCAGATTGCAGTACTATCATATTTTAGCCTTGTTTTTTATTGTATAGGTTTAGACCCAATGCCCTTTTGCAGGAGAAGAGTCTGCTATTCACATAATGGCCATTTTATAGCTCATGCTAGAGCACTGCCAATAAAACTTTTAAAAAATGTTCTGCTTGCACAGCCTCTTTCACAATTTTCCTATTACACAACTGTATGAGTTCATGAGTAAGCTGTTGTGTAAATCATTGTGAGACAATGCTATCAGCTGTGGTTCTTTGCCCCCCCTCCAGACGGAAGAAACAGTCAGACAACAAGGTTGGATGCAATAAGGCCACTTTATTAAATATTAAAGTAACGGCAAGGGCAAACATGAAAACAGTGACACGGCAAGGCCTGGTGTCGCTTTGACCCCATCCTTAACCGTATAAAATGCAAGACACCATGGCCCCAGGTTGGAGCTAACTGTAAGTCACTTGCAAACCCAGCCAAGCCAATGATTGGGATGCGCCTTCAGGAGCCCTCAAACACCACCACACGGCCAGCGCTGAGTCTCTGTCATGGCCATTCCCATAGGCAGTCTGCAAGCCTCATCCCTGGCTGCACGGCTGCAGGGTTGATCCCACAGACCCCTCTACCCCCCCAGGGGTTATTAATTGGTGCTTACGTAGCCGCTGAACTTTATTTAAACCTAATTCTGCCCTAACAAAGTGACGAACTAGACCCAAGGCACCATCCCAAACCAATTCCTCAATCCACTGAAAGCAGTGCAGGGTAGGCAAAAAAGACCTCTTCTCCATAGCCAATCAGAGAAGTAGACAAAAAATTCCTACCCGGTCCCCCATTAAACGGGGCAACCACCCTGTGTTTATACTACATACAGGGCAGGTGGTCCGAGCATGAGGCGAGCAGCTGAGAGGGGAGAGTGGAGTCAGCCTATAAGAACCACTCTGGCTCTGCTCCCCCTCTTGGAGTTGAGGCTGCACTGCAGTCCTTCCTTCCTTCCTCCTCACGAGGAGGAAAACGCGGCCCTCAGGAGGCATGCCGTGGGCTGTCTCCTGTGTGGCCGGATTGGATTTAGCCCATAGATTATAGACCCTGTTTCTCAATGATTAAAGATTAGGAATAAGACACTCAGGAATTAACATTATAAGCATGAGTAATGCAATAAATCAAATCACTAGCTTCTTAATTATTTACAAAGTTCAAGATGCTAACAATATCTATCTACAATGAATAATACCAACACATCTTACAGTGGCTGAAGGACTCACAAAGATGAAGATCATATGTGGTAAATAAAAGAATAGCTATTTGCTCAGTTTTTCTTCTAATTTTATTTTCAGTCAAGGAGAGATTCCCACATCCATAATTCTTGATCAGAATCTTGCCATACTTAGGGATGCTTACACTTCAGTAGTATGTACTGTATTGTGGTTCTGATGCCACAATGTACTGCATTGTGGCTCATTGTGATGTACTGCATTGTGGCTCTGATATAAAGCTGAAGAAAACCAATAACTGATAAGAAAAAGCCTGAAGCACTTTAGTCTCACAAATGACTATATCAGGTACCATGAGGTCTGAGTCACATGCCCCTAAAATGACACAAAACAGGTGTTGAGTTTCACCATGTAGTGAAGTGGTCATGGGATTGCTTTACTTTGTGTACAAGTTATTGCATTCTTACAAAAGGCATTTAAAAGCTAGCGACTGATATTATTGTGAAACTCCATACTGAAAAGCTGATAGTAGCCACAATGAAGCAATGGCATGCTTATGTCAAAGCGGTCCCAGACTTTAGCCATTTAGGCTTAACTCCTAATTCAGTTTTCTTATCGTATTACATGAATTGTGGAGTAAATCTTGCATAGCCACCATCTCTGCATACAGTAGGGTTGCCAGGTCTCCTTGTCTCTCCAGCTGGGGATGGGGAGGAATTCCAGGGGTGGGTGGGGATGCTCCAAGCCCCACCCCCAAGTGACCACCTGCCCAGCCACCCCTCTTCCTCCCCTCCTGCCTGATTTAAAGAGTTTCAGCTGATCAGCGGGAACCACATGGCAACATATGCCACATAAAACATTAAAAACAGCGTAAGCTCAACCATAACAATGATAAAGTGCTCAATTATGTTACCAATTTGATCAGATCAATCAACTCAGATGGTGCCCTACAGATGTACCCAAAGCCCGCTTCAACAGCCCCGACTCCATTGCAATACTGTAGCAAGATCTTATACTGGGCCATCCCATCACCCCGTTGTTACCACCAGATTATTGGTGGTGGTGGTAGTTGTGGCGGCTCCTAATTAAAAGCCTGGAGGAAGAGCTTTGTCTTGCAGGCCCTGCGGAACTGTGAGAGGTCCCGCAGGGCCCTGATCTCCTCTGGGAGCTCGTTCCACCAGGTAGGAGCCGCCACTGAAAAGGCCTTGGCCCTGGTTGCTGCAACAGAAACTAAGGGCACAGCAATAGTAATAAAGTCAATACAAAGTGAAATGCTGCATAAGTTCACATAAAGGAATCAATGATGTACTTCAACTTCCATGTCGTTTTTAATGCTTGTTTTTCAACAGGTAGACATCATCCAGACACCAAGGTGCCAACAAGATGTACAGAACGGGACGAACTTCTCGAGTTTTGCCGTTCATTTCGAGAACAATCTTTATCAAACTTCACTTTCCAGTGATCTTTTAACAGTCTAATTCACCACTAGGGTATCCAAACATTGTTGTCCGTGGTGAAATAACAATTGTTAGTGATAAGAGCTGTAAAGACCCATCCTGAATGTTTGGATACCCTAGTGGTGAATTCGACTGTGAAAAGATCACTGGAAATTGAAGTTTGATAAAGATTGTTCTCGAAACGAATGGCAAAACTCGATAAGTTAGTCCCGTTCTGTACATCTTGTCGGCACCTTGGTGTCTGGATGATGTCTAGCTGTTGAAAAACAAGCATTAAAAACGACATGGAAGTTGAAGTACATCATTGATTCCTTTATGTGAACTTATGCAGCATTTCACTTTGTATTGACCTGGTTGCTGCAAGCCTGGCCTCCCTGGGGCCTGGGATCACTAAGCGATGTTGGGCCCCTGACTGTAGTGCTCTCTAGGGTATATATGGGGAAAGGCAGTCCCTCAGGTACATTGGACCCTGGCCATATAGGGCTTTAAAGGTAAGCACCAGCACCTTGAAGCGAATTCGGAAAGCTATTGGCAGCCAGTGCAGCGCTTTCAGCACAGGCCGGATGTGCTCCCATCTAGGGAGGCCCATCAAAAGCCTGGTTGCAGCATTCTGCACTAACTGCAGCTTCCAAACTTGCGACAAAGGCAGCCCCATGTAGAGAGCATTACAGTAGTCTAATCTCGAGGTGACCGTCACATGGATCACTGTAGCCAGATCGTCGCGGTCAAGGAAGGGGACCAACTACCGAATCAGCTGAAGATGATAGAAAACTGAGCTGGTAGCGGCTGCCACCTGGGTCTCCATAGTTAGGGAGGAATCCAGACGTACTCCCAAACTCCTAACCTCCGATGCTGGCACCAAAGGTGCTCCATTGAAGGCTGGGAAAGGAAGCCCCACCCCCAGACCACCCCGACTCAGGCACAGGACCTCCGTCTTCGCTGGGTTTAGTTTCAACCTACTCGGTCTAAGCCAACCAGCCACGGCCTGTAACGCCCAGTTAAGACCTTCTGGGCTGGAGTCCGACTGGCCACCCAATATCAAATAGAGCTGGGTGTCATCTGTATATTGATGACACCCTAGCCCATACCTCCGAGCAATCTGGGCAAGGGGGTGCATATAGATGTTAAACAACATTGGGGAAAGCACAGCCCCCTGGGGCACACCGCATTCAAGCGGGTGCCTTCAGGACTGCTGTTCCCCTAGCACCACCCTTTGGACCCGACCTTGGAGAAAAGAGGCAAATGATTGAATGGCACGCCCCTGTATCCCCACGTCAGCGAGACAGTGGGTCAGCAGCTGATGGTCGACCGTGTCAAATGCAGCCGACAGATCTAGCAACAGCAATACCACCACACCGTCTCGATCCAGATGCCTCCGGAGGTCGTCAGTAGGGGCGACCAGCGCTGTTTCCATCCCGTGCCCCGGGCGAAAGCCAGACTGGAAAGGGTCTAAGGTGGAAGCATCATCCAGAAAACCCTGTAGCTGTGTTGCCACCACCCTCTCAATTAATTTGCCCAAATAGGGCAGGTTGGAAACCAGCCGATAGTTGGCCAATACGGCTGGATCCAGTGATGTTTTTTTCAAGAGGGGGCAGACCATCGCTTCCTTGAGTGCCCCAGGGAACCACCCCTCAACGAGGGACTTAGGGCACCTCGAAACCCCTTCTGGCCCACTTTAATGAGCCAGGAGGGGCACGGATCAAGGCTGCAAGTGGTTGGGCGCACAGATGCGAGTAGTCTGTCGGCTTCCTCCAGGCTTAGTGGGCTAAAACCTTCCAAGCCCAGAGTCGAAGACAAGCAAGGGGCCTTGAGTTCACTCACTGTATCAACTGTGGCGGGGAGGTCGTGGCGGAGCACCAAGACTTTATCCACAAAATAGCTCGCAAATGCCTCACAGCCAATATCCAATTCCCTAGCATTTTGTCTACCCTGTGGCAGCGCTGTTAATGACCGAATTGTTCTAAATAATTGGGCTTGCGGATGCAAACGTGGCTGCATAGAATTCCTTCTTAGTGGCCTTGGTTGCCATCTCATTGGATCTCATAAATGTCCTAAAAGATGCTCTTGTTGCCTCATCGGGAGTACGACGCCACCCTCTCTCTAGCCATCTTAGTTCCCGCTTCATCAGCTGCAGCTCCTGGGTATACCAGGGAGCCAGCCTAGAGCGAGTACGCAGAGGGCGCCGGGGAGCAATCTTGTCAATGGCTGTGGAGAGCCGGCTATGCCAGTCCTCCACAAGCTCATCCAATGAGCCGCCAGGGGGCCTTGGATCCCGCAAAGCCATTTGAAGTCGTTCCGGGTCCTAAACAGGGCTGGTGTGGGATTCAGACAGGCCTTCAGGGCAAAGTGATCCAACCATGGTACTGCTAATGCAGTAATCCGATCCACCGTTACTCCAGCCATGAAGATCAAATTGAGCCTGTGACCGGCCCGGTGTGTGGGGGTCGATACGAATTGGGAGAGTCCCAGTGTCGCCATGGACGATACTAGGTCTGCTGCCTGACTGGAGGCTGCATCATCGCATGGATGTTGAAATCACCCAAGACCAAAAGTCTAGGGTGCTCCAATGCCCAGACTGATACGGCCTCCGTCAGGGACGGCAGGTTATTGGCCGGTGCGTTAGGCGGACGGTACATCAGCCAGATTGCCAAACTCTCCGCAGCCTCCAGCACTAGGCTGACACACTCGATCAGGCCTTAATTGTAGTTGATGTACTGTTAATTAGTATCAAGGGTATATTCAGGGTATATTCAGAAATTAGTTTTTTGTCATTGTCTTCCCACTCTTTCAACAGTGAAGAGATCAATATTGTACTAGATTATCTGAAGGAGTCTAAAATGGGATGGACTTTGAAACTTCCACAAATCCTGGTGAACTTCAGAACACTGGTTTGCTGAAACCATCTGAAACAGAGTGTTTTGCCTATAGAACATCTCCAAATCATCAAGTCCCATGAAGATCTCATTATACAATGCTTTTTAAGATCATTGAATGGTAGGAAAATATGTTCTCTATAGTTTGCTGATTTGTTGCATTTTAGCTTCAAAGGTAGCAAAAAATTCAACCCTTCAAGGTACACTCCTCATATTGGAAAAACAACTGTAGACAATAAAACTATCAGAAATTATCTTAATATCAAACTCTGAAGATTTAGAAAAATGTTTGGCCATACAAATGCATGGCCACATGTGAACAGTATTTTGTTCTCTGACAATTAATTGCCACATTCCACTTCCAGTTAGGTTTCTCTTTCCCCAAACTGGCTGATCTAATCAGACATTTTCCATTTATTACCTTAATAGGAAATGCCATACTTAAGTGAAAGTTTAACAGGGTAATAAGCACATTGTCTTGTTTCCACTGAGGTCAAATTGAATTTGTATCAAGTCAAAGATCAAGTTTTTTTGGCCATTACCTTTTAGTAATTGAAATTTAAACATTTCCTTTTGAATTTCAGTTCCCCCCCCCAAAAAAAAAACAACACCAGGCCACTCAACCTCTAAGTTAGAAATACAACCCATTTGTCTTTGCTAGTAAAAAAACAAAGCCAGCTTATTTGAAGTTAATGTAATTTTACACATGGAAACAATCAATTAATAGATGTTTCCTAAGACAAATCTCAAAGACAAGCACTGTTGGTTTCCCCTCACCAAAAAGAGACAGCGGAACATAGAATAGCTTGTGTGCTGCACTCCCCAAGCTCAGTTTTATTTACCCACAGCAGAACTGGACTAACATGACATAAGATTTGTGACTTATCATAAAAGTTTCCCTGCCCCAATTGCATCCACCAATACAGTACACTTAATGCTCTGCAGCACACCAAAATTTCAGGGGCAGGAGTGCCATCTGAAAATGATAGTAGGCATAATTGCACTTATTTTTCAGAAGGACCATGGGAAATGGCCAGTGCTATAAAGAACCTGCCCATCTCTGTAAAACTAGATATACAATCAGGACATTAAACGTCAATACATGCCAAAACTATGCAGTTTTAACTATAACTTACAGGCTGGAGTTGAGCAATCCCGTGTATTGTGATACAGCCGGTGGAAATGCTTGCTACATTCAGCTGAAAATGTGACTGGACCTGTTTAAACAAAGTCAAGAAGTTTTAGTATCTTTCTGGTGCAGCTGTTAATTAACACATATGGTTAACAAATTTAGAACCCAGTGGCACCTTTAAGACCAACAAAGGTATGATCTTACTTGTGCATGCACACTTTTTCAAATGCATTGGATTGGTAGGTAAGGTTCAAACTTATAGACAGGGGCTAAACAACAAATTAACATGTAACAGTTAGGAACACCAAATTTAACAAAATATTATAAGTCCTCCATTCTGGTAAATTTTATAAGATCATGCATGGGGGATGTAGAGAAAAACTAGCTGCAAATTGGAAGTTTCTACTCAGCTCATAAGGAGCTGCGGTGGCTCAAGTGGTTAAGACGCTGAACTGCAGGCTGTGGAAGGTCAGTAGTTCAGCAGTTTGAGACCCGAGTGTGCCGCATGACGGAGTGAGCTCCCGTCTCTAGTTCCAGCTCCTGCCAACCTAGCAGTTCGAAAGCAAGAAATTGCAAGTAGGTAAATAGGTACCGCTTCGGTGGGAAGGTAACAGCGTTCCGTGCACCTTGGTGTTTAGTCATGCCGGCCACATGACCACGGAAACGTCTTCGGACAGCGCTGGCTCTTCGGCTTTGAAACGGAGATGAGCACCGCAACCCTAGAGTCGGATTCGACTGGCTTTCGAGCAAGGGAAACCATTTACCATTTACCATTACTCATCTCCACTTTCGCTTGCAGAGTCTTACTGTGAGGGGAATTTAAACACAGACCTCTCAGCATTAAAGATAATAATCTCTTTGATACAACCTGCAAAATTTGAGATAAATGGAGGCAGATCTTAGTCCCAGAGAACTCACCACCAAAACCTTTTTAAAATCAAGAGTGGTTTTCCCCCAGGAAAAGAACATAGAGCTTTCCTGAAGCGGCATCAGGCAGGGATAACCAGATTAATAAACTTATATGATAAGGGAAGAACTTAGAAAAGACCCAACTGGAAATAAAGGTGGGACAGACAACTCCCTGCTATAGATACCTACAAATTGTACATATGTTAAGGAACATACAACCTAGGCCCAGATCCTTAACAGTTTTTATTTACTTATTTATTATATTTATACCCTGCCCTCCCAGCCATGGCCGGCTGTGACTGGCATCCTCAGAGGTATAACACAGAAAGATGGAGTACTATCTGTGTCAAGGTGAACGGATGAGAAAAAAGATCTGATAGCGATCTTACTAGCAGTGTCAAGGATCTTACTTGCAGCATACTGGAGACACATACAAACCTCTTCCATAACAGCATGGAGAGAAAAACTGAGGGAATATCTTGTATTAGAAAAGATAATGCAACATAATACCTTAAACACACACGAAAATACATCCTTGAAATTTCTGGAGATCTGGTATCCAGTGATTCAATACTTAACAGAAAATGGTGTCTTGCCCAATAACCCATATTATACAAAAATGATGTACTTCTCGAAATTAATTAAGTAATGCTCAATAGTTTAGAAATTGTTTGCAAATGAATACTGTTCATGAATAAAGATGGTTGCTTTTTTGTTATGTTCAATTAAAATATATACTAAAAACTTGTTATACCTGTAATTGGTTAGCACTTTATGTACTGCTCACTGATATCGCTTCTTACTGTTATATTGCTGTTGTATGACTGTAAACTTTATTTGTTAAAATAAATGGTTTATTAAATAAAAATAATAATAAAGGGACTGTGATCCCTTCTTCTGGGGACCACAGATTGGACCCCTGGTCCAATCTTTTTGAAACTAGGGTTTTGTTTTTTTGTTTTGTTTTTGAGGAAAGACACCAGCAGCTATGCTGCAAATCTGGTGCCTCTACCTCAAGAAACAGCCCCCCTCCAGAGCCCCAGATACTTCCATATCGATTCTCCATTATAGTGTATGGGGACCATTGACTATAATGTTCCCCGGGGAAAAAGGGGGGGGGGGGGGGGGGGGATGGCAATCTTGAATATTTACCAAATCCTAACACTATACCAGTATTGGGATTTCAGAATATTGAGAAATACTGATATTTTTCAGGTTCAATATACCCGAACCCAAAAAATACTGATTTTTTGCACACCCTTAAAAAGAAGTAGTGCTTAATAGAAATATACAGACAGGGCCCTGTGAGATTTGTGTGTGCATAGGGGGGAAATTCCATCTTCCCCGTGTCCTCCAGGCCAACCACTTGCTGGGTGGCCTGTTTGCCAGCAATGCCCCTGTCTCCCTCCTCTCACCACCTGCCTGACTTACCCACCTACTCACAGCTCCCAGTGAGGCAAGGCAAGTTTGGTGCCTCCTCCCTCACCTCCCTGCCTCCCTGAATTGCTGCCCTTAAATGGCTCAGGGGATGGCAGTGGCATTGGTGGCTCATTCATCTCTGCCTCTCCCATACCTGCCTGTGATGGCAGCAGCTCCTGCTCCTTCCCACTCACAGCACTACACCTGGGGGATGGCTTCCACTCTTCCCACCCAGAGGCCTTCAGAGGAAAGGCATTCATGGGCTACCTCAGGGCATGAGTGCTCCTTCTCCCCTCTGTTAATCATAATCTTGTACAGGCAATGTATTCCTCTACTTTAGGTGGATCTAAATCCCACAAACCTGGCGCTACAGATGGGGCCATGGTAAGAATTAGATATATTGATAAGGCTGCTTATTATAATTTTTTTCCCACACTGACTACACCATGTTGTTTTGTCTAATCTAGAAACAGACAACCATCAGAAGGTGTCTACAACATTTCAACAGATGAAGTCAGTTCCAATTGACTTCAGCACATAACTTATTATTGTCTTCCTTCGCTCGTGGGTCCCGCTGCTCCTCGGGTGAGGAGGTCATCATTTACTGCATTGGCCCCATTCAGTGGGAGGAAGACAAACACTTCATACAGGCAACATCAGGGGGAAATTAAGTATATGTTCTTTTTAAATAAAAACTGCTCTTACCTGTAAAGTGTTTTATAAACTTGTCTTTTAAACTGGAATCTCTTGGAAATACTTCTGTGGAAAAAAATACATTATATACACATTAAGTGCAACTGTATGCAAAATTATTGCACATGTGAAAATATATTTATAAATTTTGTTTTAGTAACCATTTAAACATCAGCCTAAATTCAGAAACCCCTCCTGCAAATGTGGAAGCCCTTATAAACAGGAAGAGCTCCAATGTACACAAAGCATATCTCTTTACTTCAATGGAGGCATCAGTCCTATTGTGTACATATATATCCGTGTATGGGTAAGGCTGCTCACTCTATTGAAGTGAAGTCCCTTTTACCACTTCAAGAAGCTTATGTGCCACCCTGACTTGGATAACCCAGGCAAGCCCAATCTTGTCAGATCTTGGACACTAAGCAGGGCCAACCCTGGCAAGTACTCAGAAGGGAGACCTCCAAGGAATGCCAGGGCCAGGATGCAGAGGCAGGCAATATCAAGCCACCTCTTTGAAAAATCCTAGCCCCACTAGGGGTCACCAGAAGTCACCATGACTTCCAGGAATGCAAGCACACACACATACACAAATACAAAAAAAGACGCTTATGTGCCATATGGCCACAGCAAAATGAAGTGAGGGAGATTCCTCTGTTTGCTATGAAATGGCCAAACTTGCTTGTTATTAATGCCAATTTCTTTGACCAACAATGTGTTCTCAAAGTGATTCACAGTAATATAATAATAAATAAAATAAATAACACAACGTAAATGGCAAGTAAAACAAATCTACATCCACTAGGCCATAATTAACAGGCAACATATATTTTACATAATAAAACTTCAAGTAAATAAATCAGTCCTTAAAGCTTCTCAAAGCTTGAGAAGTGATATCACATGAATTCCACTGGGCAGCTATTTTAGTGGTACAAGACACCTATTTAGCGGTAGACAACAGCCCGAAATGAGACTGAAACATGATCAAATAGTTCCCAGCAGAATAAACTAAGGAATAAATCGGGAAAGTATTCCCTGGAATATCTCTGGCCAAAGCCATAGGAGGTTTTAAAAGCAATCACTAGCACCTTGAATATACCCTGAAAGTGCTATATTGATATAGAGAACAGACACTGTTATGCTTTTTGTAGCTAACACCAGAAATTAATCATGTTGTTGAAGTCTGGACCAAATACAGATTCCATGCTGCCTGATAAAAATCCAAGTAAGAAAGATATATATGCACCCAAGAATCCAAGTCTTGCTGCTCCATGAAAGGATGCAGTTGGCAAAACACATAAAATATGCACTTTAATATTTCTTCTACCAAGTGTTCCAAAAAGAAGTCTGGGTCCAAGTGCACTCTGTAAACAAACTGAAGTTTTAGGAGAAGTTAATCTTACCTAAAACAGAAATTCCCAGCATTCTAATTGAATTGTCTATTATGAACAAATCCCTTTTGCCACCCAAGCTGGAATAATGAGGCAGACACAGGTGATGGATTTAAATATTGGACTCTTTATTAACTGACAACCTTAACTGGAAACCAACGGCAAGGGCAAACAGTTCTGTGGCATGGTCAAGGCCAGGGGTCAACGACCCCTTCCTTAGCTCCTTAAATAGGGTGAGCCACCCTGCCGCAGGCAGGAGCCATCAGCAGTGGCTTCCACCCAGCCGGCTAGGCATTGCAGGACAACCCCTTAGCCCAACCCCCGAGCCACTGGGTTCAAAGGGAGGACCCAATCGGGGTGGTCCCAAAGGCAGTCTGTTTTCCCCACCCCCAAAGGCTGTACTCACAAGACCCCTTCAACCCAAATAAATGGGTGTCATCTGATGCTCACCGTACTATAACCTATATACCGCCTAGAACCCTGCCAAACAAAGTAAAGTGACCGTCCTAACTAACCAGCCCCACCCTTGCAAAAACCTTTGTCACTGCCTCAGTGCAAGGTAGGCGAAAACACCCCCTCCCCAGGCCAATCAGGAAGGGGTGAAAAATTCCTACCTGGCCCCCTAAAACCGGGTGACCAGCTAAAGCCTGCACTAAGAACAGGGTGGGAGGGTGGGCCGACTACTAACCGGGACTGCTGGTGAGGAAAGGAGGGGCCATCCTTTATACTCTTCGGCCCCTCCCATCCAAAATACTCGTATGGGCATGTTGGCGCCCAAACCAACTGCCTGCCCCTTTCATCTGGGTGGCAAAGTCGTTCCCCCAGCCCAACGGCTGCAGGGGCCAAGGGCTGCTGATCCGTGTTGTCTGGATCAAGTTTCTGTGTATTCTGACCTAGTCTATCACTTACTTTAAACAACAGCTCAGGAATGAAACCACCTCAACTGGTTCAGATGAACAGGAGGACTGGAACTGTCAACTGCCTATTCATGACAACTCACTCTTCAATTCTAGACCAACTACCTCAGCAGCTTCATAAAAGCATGGGCTCCATAAGTGAGTTCCCACCAAGAGGACCAACAACTGAATGTTCCTGGCTGGATAAAAGTGGAATGTCAACTCCCAGATTCCTCACTCAGTCTAAAAGAATCACTAGAGTTGATAGTATCAAAGCTGACAAGAGAGCTAGGAGAATCAACAGGGCCATACTCCCTGTCCCAGCAGAATCAAGGTCAAGAGGAATCCATAAAGAACCCAGTAATTATGTCACAGTGGACCATCAAGAGTTCTAACTCTGAAGCCAGATTAAATGGATTCGGATAACCCGTTTTATCCAGAGTCACCTAAACTTTCTCAAACACTGACTGCTTGATCACTTTGGCTAAGAATAGGAGATTTGACACAAGTCTGTAATTCACAAACCTTGGGGATCAAGAGAATGCTTTTTCAAAAGCTTCATTCAGACTGGAAAGCGTTATGCCTTCCCTCAGAAGTCAAAATATAGACTGTCATCCATGTCATAGATGGCATGCCATCCATGCCAATTGTCCAGATGGTTTCCAGCTCATTTATTAATTTATTTCATTAACTGAATTCATTTTGAGTTTCATGAAATTTCATTGTCCCTATTTAAGTTTCCTATTTAATCATGACATAACACTGACTGCAGACAGGGAGAATCTGCTTTGAAGTTGAACTTCCTGAATCAACTCCCTATTCCAGCAGGCCAGCCCAGACCCAACCAGAACACTCCCCTGGGGCTGAAAAATCAGTTAAATCCTTAAGCTTTGGATGGCAGACCATCTTAATGGGTCCACTGTGCCTACAATGTCAGTGAGAGCTAGAAGCCCAACTACGATGATCTGTCCATGGCAGTGGCAAAACCAAAGCTAATCCCCATCCTTGATCCGAACCAAAGACTAAACTGAATGTTTGATCAGCAATATGAGTAGGACAAAACACATACTGAGACCGGCCCATAGTTTTCACGGTCACCACGAACTCTTGAGCTGACCTTACTAAAGTGGAACAGAAATTGAAGTTCCATAGGTCACCTCCAAGACAAGCTTAGTTAAGAAGTTGTTAGGCAAAAGGGTGACCAGTACACCAAGAGGATATATAATCTACTTCCTAAGCCTCAGGACGAGGTATAGTAACTTGATATAAATCATGTCTTGCAAAAAGAATCTGTTGAGTGAGATGAAATTGGTGTGATGGCTCAGAGGTTAAGATGCTGAGCTGCAGACCAGAAGGTCTGCAGTTCAGCAGTTGAAGACCCTAGTGCAGCATGATGAAGTGAGCTCCCATCTCTGGCCCCAGCTCCTGCCAACCTAACCGTTCAAAAGCAAGAAATTGCAAGTAGATAAATAGGTACTACTTCGGTGGGAAGGTAACAGTGTTCCGTGCATCTTGGTGTTTAGTCATGCCGGCCACATGACCAGAGAAACATCTTCGGATAGCGCTAGTTCTTCGGCTTGGAAATGGAGATGAGCACTGCCCCTTAGAATCAGATTTGACTAGTTTTCAAGCAAGGGAAACCTTTACCTTTTTACTCCACACTAATTTTCTGAAAACTGCTGTTTCGGAGCACCCAGCTAGGCCCAGTTAACCCCCAGCCTTATTCACCACACACCCTAAAGACAGCCCCTTCCTTTATACCTGGTGTGACAATAGCATCCCTATGTGTAAAGCAACTTGTTGCGGGACAGGATAGATCTGTTTAACTCCTAAGAGTGCCTCATTACAAACAGCTCTCCATACACAAGGAGAAGAACTGAGTCATTACCCTTCTATGGCCATCTATTTCATAAGGTACAGTAAAACAATAATAATAATAATACCTTTCGATTTATTGATCGCTCAATCCTGCAGAGCTGCTGGCTCTGAGCGATTTACAGTTACACAGGTTTTCACAAGGGACTAACAATGATAGGGATAAGGGAGGAAAACATATAATTCTTTAAATCGCACACATTTGCAGCTGACGGGGATTTTGTTCAGCTGTAGGCTTCAGTCGTGTTCCAGGCGGCATTCATTTCGGCTTGGCTTGATGACGTTAGTTCTTCCTGGACTGCTTTTGAGTCATAGCGCCGCACTGCCACTGTCTGGCTGGATTGGCCCATTAGAGGCTTCTTGATGCCGAAGAGGACTTTTTCCAGGCTTACAAGCTGGACATTCCATTCGCCAGCTAACACCTCCCCTACGGGGGTTTAGTGGTACCCATTTTGTCTACTCGCCGAAGCTTTCGAACCGCTGGGTGGACGGTGAGCTGGGGACAAGGCTGGTAGCTCACACCAGCGCAAGCTAGAACTGACAGCAACTGTGTTCAGTTCAGATGTTAACCAGAGGATAAATCCTCTGTGCCACCGCTCAATACAGCCAGGGAGGCTGAGTACTACAAGTTCCTTTCTTCATTCCACTTCCCTTTTGTTCAAGTAGAACAAAAACATTTTAAAGAATTTAAGATGTAATCCTAAACACATTTACTAGGGAGAAAGTCCCATCTAGCTCAATAGGATTTACTTCTGAGTGTACATTCTTAACCCTGCACTGTCAGTTACCTGATACTATTGTAATAATAGGATACTGTACAGTGAAGTATCAAATAGCAGCATATTTTACTAAACAAAGAGAATCCAAAACGAAAAAGTGTGACCCTTAATGAACCTCTATTTAGTTTTATAATAGTAGCTGTCATCTTGACAGACTGTACATGGGGAAAATAGCACACTACATGTTCAATGCAAAGAAACCAGATTCTAAGCTGTAAAAGTCAGGAGTTTTTCATAAACATTTTATAAGAACACTCCATCACATAGCAAAAATATTTACTTCTTTTTTTGCTTAATACATATGCCAAGTTTTAATTCAAAGTTCTTAATATGGATCTTTATCGCACACAGAGTCTTTTCTGTGAAATATTTAAAGAATAGCTTTAAGCATAAGTGTTTTGCCTAGAGGAAGCCCCACCACTACCCCATCCCCATGCCCAAGAACAGCAATGTGTTATTTTTATACAACACAGGACAGATCTGAAAAGACTTTATGGTCTCAAATAAAGCATGCTTTATAATTTGTTAAAGCTTTATGGACCTACATCTTTGCAATCACAGGCAATGTTAAAAGAGATGGATTTGCATTATATAAACCAGAGTCCAATGCCTAGTATAATCCCAGTTAATAATTATAAGTAATCTTCTTCATTTGAGATTTCTTTCTTGTTTCCAGCAAGATCTTTCAACTTGTATATGCCTACTCTTCTTTAGATAATTAAGCATTATGGAACAAATCCTACCTCTTACTCCACAGGTGGCTACTGCTATGAAAAGCTGGGGAAGTGGTCACTGAACACATCTACTTACTCTCTAATGCTTGGGATGTTGTTTTTGTAGCACCAGATGGGCTGCAAGATTAGTTCGATTCAGCTGCACAATGCCATACAAGGCCTCCTGGGTGACCCTGTACAAAGCAATTGGTTTGCCAGCTAATCTCGAAGCCACTCCTATTGGAATAAAACTTCCTAAAGAGAGATTATTCCATAGTAAATAGCTTGAAAGCGCACTCTCCTTTTGATTTCAATTCCTATCTCTAGAACAAAAGCTATCTTATTCTTTTCATTACAAATGATCGTTAGCAATCACAATAGGATGGTGAGACACTGGTTTGGAAATCATCTGATCTCATTCCTTCTTAAGGACAATTCACACAGTCAGCCAAATAAGAAGGTGATAAGCCTGTCTCTTAAAAGACTTGCTTCCATGATCTGCTTAAAAGACCATGTTTACTGCATGATAACTACAATTAGTAAGTGCAAGCTTGGCTGTAAAAAGTAGCTATTATGAATCCGCTATCACAGATAGATCTTTATTTTTGTGTTAATGTCAGCCCCATCAATGGAATACCTCTAGCTCTTACTAGTTGGACATGGTGGTTATTACTTGATAACATCATCTGACAGGCTCTCCCTCATGGACTTTCGCTTTGTTTACGGTATAAGATCCTCATACATTTTAATTCTCCATCATTATATGTATGTTCAACAAAAATCAAATAACATGTTGACTAAGCAATTCACTGCAGTGTGAGCTATTATAAGCAGAATACTATAATTCTCCCCCCCCTTTTTTTTTTGGGTATTTAGTGTGTGCATGTGTGTGCGCGCTTGCGAGCCTGGAAGTCCTGGTGACTTCTGGCAACCCCTAGTGGGCCTCGGACATTTCAGAGAGGTGGCTTTGATATTACCTGGGTTGGCCTTGCTTAGCTTCACAGAATACTATATTTTGAGAGTCAAGACATGCTCAAAAGAGGCAAGGTGTGTGTGTAGGATAAAATAGGAAGATAAGAACTAAAGATTACAGGAATGTAAATGCAACCCTAATTGCTGGTATATGAATCATTAAGCCAGTATACAAACTAAACATTTGCTGAATACTAAACTCAAGTACTAGGGCGAAATTAAAAAGATTTACTTTTTTATAGCATACATAATTATATTATTGCGAGTCTAACCATTATTTAAACAGTGAGAAATGCAATCAGATTTCTTAACGAATCATAGCTTTCTAGATTCTTCAACCATCATATCCAGGGAGAAAGTAATGTTTCTCCATTGATTTCAGTAGATTCTAATTTTTAATGTAATTAGTATAATTCTTTCACAAATACATTGTCCCTGTGAGAGTTTCACCCTCTTGGAGCATAATGTTTTAGATCTGTTACTTTGTTCCCCATATGCCACAACCCAGCAATCATGTTTAGCTATATGGAAGGGCTTTTGATCACCCTCTAGTACTTTCAGCTTATTTTTGTTGCCCCCCCCCCCATATATTCCATTGCAAGCTGTCTTTTCAGCCTCTCATGTATGTAAAGGAAACATTAAGCGGTTGTTATGGGAGAAGTTATCATGTAATGATCACCCCAGATTTCATATTGGTGGGAATTCAAAGACCTGTACTGGGACTGGTTCTACTTAGCATTCACAAACAACCAGAATTCAACAGGGCCCATGTATAAAGTTGTAACAAACCACTCCCCCTACAATCCCATCCCACACCAGCTCCTAGTGAAAGAAAACATTCTATTTTCTTTCTGCAGTGACATAAACCATATAATGTAATGTGCCTATAAACCAGGCTGAGGGCCCCTGGACCTGATAAATCACATTCATATTTTTTCTTCCATGTTTAGGTCTTATGAGTTTGTGGTTTACAATGAGGAGCCAAGATCTTGGATGGTGATATTTCAAGCCAACTGTAAAGGGCTGCTAAACTATCTCTCTGGAATGGGAAAATGGGCACCAAAATAGTATTTAGAATAACTGCATATTTCAAACATAAAATAATTCTAAATTCATATGTAAAAGGATGGGTTCTGAATTGCTGTAACTACCCAGGAAACAGACCTTAGGGTTAAACACAATGAAAACATGCATTCAATGGGTTGAATCCAAGCACCTATGAATGAAAGAAATATGCAGAATCTGATCTTCTCTGCCTTTTATTCCCCCTGTAACATCCTCTACCCCATGAAAGCTACTACTGAGGAACTTTACTGAATACTATGGCTGGGGTGGGGGCTGTAGTAATGAGAGCGTATATGTCACTTTCTTGTGGCCATTTCCCCCTTTCAGAGCTCCACTTGTGTGTGTGAGAGAGAGAGAGAGTGTGTGTGTGGTGGGGTTACCATCCCCCCAATGGGGGTTGGGTTTTTTCTGCTTTCAGGGCCCCCAATCCACCACTGGCTAGCTGGCCAGTGGGGGGGATCCCCACCCTCAAAGAGACCCATCACATCTGACATGCCTGGCATGATTGTGCTGACCATGTTGTGCAGGGGACGCTCTAACATTTGGGTAAAAATTCCATGGTGGCCATAGAGTTTCTTACCCAAATGCTAGAGCATCCCCTGCACAACTTGCCCGGTGTGATGCCATCACTTCCAGGTGATGTCATTGCGGCACACGTGCGAAGTGCACATATCAGGAGACACTGGGAGACAAGCTGCTGTTGCCTTGAAAGACACTTAATGTGCTCTTATGAACTATAACTCATAAGTGATAAAAATGGACTGTGTAAACCTTTGCTTAAAGGGACTGTACTGCATGGTGACCCAATATGATGCCAGTTGAGACTGCACACCTGAGAGAAGAAACCCTTCCCTTTGCATTGCTGTTCCAGTGGTTCTTCAAGGTTACCTGCCCTCTCACCTGTTGTGAGATGGACCAGTTCTTTAGCCTGCATAACGCCATGACATGCCCAGGCACAAGGACAAAGAGCTCCAAATGTCATTAGGAGCTTCATCTGATACATGCAGGCAACCCCCTTCCCCCTCCTCCAGCTACCTGCAAATCTGCACGTAATCAAGAGGCTCTCCCTACAGTTGCTTGGCAGCTAATCGATTGCCCATCAACGAACCAGCTAGGGCCATCAAGAGACAATAGCCATAGCCTGATGACTCATTTCCTCTTCATCCAGGTGCCAGTCCCCAATCTAAGTTACTAGCTCTCAATATTGACCACCCCCTAGCTCTCCTCCCCGTTTCCTTCTACCCAATAGTATGTTTTATGGGACAGACTAACAGGAAGTGGGACAAGGGGATGTGGCCAGCTCAGCCTGCCCCCCCACACCACCTTATAAAAGGTGATACCCAACCACATGGTCTCTCTCTCTACTACAGTCCCTATCTAAGCTTTATCCCCCTTTACGTCCAGCTTGCTATCCCAATACCCTCCCTCCATCTTTGACTCTTGGTCTGCAGCCAGAGTTCCATGTGTTTCTGCCGGTTCAGAACACGTCCCTTATATCTGATTCTTCCCCCTCCCTTCTTCCATTGGAATGACTCAGTCAGCAAGGACAGGTAACTATTGCCCAACGAATATCCTGCTAATGCGAATGTGCTTATTATCTATCTTTATTTCCTAGTACTGTGTAAGTGTGTGCGCGCGTATGTCTTGTTTGAATGATAAATACCTTATAGTAAAAGACACCATATTTTACTGAATACAGTCTCCGTGTCTGTTACTGGTAACTACTGGAAAGGTGGGACCTCTGTATACAACGGTGTTCGCTCCCTAATTTGCCTATTGCCAATTAATAATCATAACTTCCCCAATATTTATAAGAAATTAAGGCAATTTGGCTAACACTGGAGCCCCCCCCACCAGGATAACATAAGACCTGGCAACCCTAGTGTGTGATGGGGCTAATTTTGAACAATTGCCCCTTCTTGTAGCATCTCATGCTGAATCCTAGTTTCACAAATAAACAATTAGCCATGTCACACGTAA